TTTTGGACGCTGACGAAGCCATTCGTCAAATAATTGTACATGGATGTGCAGAAGCGACAAGTTTGAATGCAATTTATCGTATAATTCGTTATTTTAGTGAAAAAAAAGAAAAAAAAAATCAAAAGCTAAGAGGGAAAATGCACAGAACTATTACTTTTAAGATCCCAATTTTTTCTTGCATTTCGCGGCACTTAGCTTCCGCACCATTGCGGGTTTTTTCAGCGAATTCTGCGTCGCGTTGCAATGTGGCGCTCCGAGCTCTCAATTCAGCAATCGTATGGCTGACCTGTACGAATTCGTCAAGATGCATTTCGATTTGGGCAAGCTGAAAAAGAAGGCAAACATCAAATATTCCACATTAAAAAGGCACTTTCACCGCACAACATACCTGGTTCAGGGCTGCTGTTTCAGCGTCTCCACCTTGCAGCATCAATACATTTGTCGGCGGCGGCTCATAAACAATGCCCAGGCTTTCCTTCACAATGCGAATCGTCTCATTTACTTTGTTTTCCAAACCCATTATTTCCTGCAATACGAATGACACTTCTGCAATCTGCCACTGTCTCTTGCAATAACTGAACTATTATTAGGATCAGGCCCGAAGTGAACAATGTTTATGGAGCGTAAGACTTCCGAGAGCGGACGGTCAACGTACAAGCCGCAATCAGTTATCGCTGCTATATGTTCAAAAGTCCCTCTGTCCCCCACCAGATTTCATTGCCTCTGAACAGAGATACGGCCCAAGAGCAATTATCACCGGGCAAAACTAAAATTGACTGAAAGTTTGCTTGAAATAGCAAAAGAATTTTATGCAAATTTCGTAAAAACCTCTACATTAGTCAAGAAGAGGGCAAGTGCCCATGCAAAAAGAGGCAACAGAGCATTCACAGAACAGGAATTCTGTAACACAAAATCAAAAGCGACCAACAGGAGCAATTCACTTACAGCTCTACAATGGGCCAGTTCGCTTTCACAGTTTGCCAGCTGTTCGTTAACGCGATCCACTTCCGCTCGAAGTGCCTGGAACACAGGAATAAAATGCAAGGCAAGTTTTTTCCCAAAAACATCAAAATATTCAGCAGCATATGTTGAAAGTAGTTGTGGCTGATGAATTTGACTCAGTTGTAAGCGACAGGCCGTATATCCACGCTCGAGCCCGTATTTCGAACTTAGACCGAGAGGAGCAATTCCGAAAACAAAACCCTGTTCCGACGGCAAAAATGGTACCGCCGCAAATCAGGCATCGAGAAAGTTACCAAAGTTAGTTATCAAAATTACCAAAATCGTTGTCAGAAAGTTACCAAAATCGTTGTCAGCAAATGTCAATAGCATCACAGTTGGTTTTAATGCCCTTGCCTGCACTATGTTTTGAAGTTATGACTTTTTAATGATTAATGATTTTTTTAATAATTTAATGATCATGATTTTAATAATTCAATAATTTTTAATAATTTTAATAATTTAATGATTTTTTTAATGATTAATGATAAAGACCTCATTCAGTTCTTCCTTCACTCCCAGTGTATGAACAGTCTCGGCGAGTTGAATTTGCAGTTGCTGGCATTGCTCCGTTATTCCTTTCATTTCGCGCTTCATTTCATTGTCCTTCTCGATTGCTCGATATTCTTTTATTTCAAGTGTCTTTCGCAGCTCGTTTGCTTGCTGAAAAAGTGAGGCGTATTGTTCGTTAACGTGCCTCAGTTGCATCGCGACATTTGCTGATTCTTCCTCCTTCACTGCCATATCATTCTTAAGACTGTTCAGCTCGTCTGTTATTTTCTGATTGGATTTCTCCAGATCACAAATGCGTCCCTGTAGTTGTTCGCTGAGATGCGCAGCTTCTATTGCCTTCTGCTTTTCATTAGCAAGTTCCACATTCAGCTGATTACAGGTCTTTGAAGCAAACGAGCTGACCTGAAATTTCATTTGATAAGTTAACATAGATTCTCACGACTAAAATACCAGCCCACGAACAATCAGCAGTGTGGAGACATTACTCCCACAGCCAGCATCAACTATGTTGAATTATCTACTCTAGCTTTTTTAAACTCCAGCTTTTTTTGCCCGGAATCTTAATCCTTAAATCCCAGGAATCTCAAATTTTCAAACTTTGTCTAACATTTATTTTTAATTTTTAAATTGTTTTTTTTAAATTCCTTATATTGTAATTTTTTTATAATCTTCTATCTTATTCTAATTCTCCCCATCCTAATTCTTATTTAATTCTAAAAAATTCTAAAAATTTTTAAAAAAAAATTCTCTCTGTCTCTTCCAGTACTACTTAACCAAAAAGAACCTCCTGCAGTTCGCTGGAAAACGCTGAAGATAAGCGGAATGAGGAACAATTCATCGACTGTCCCAAACGTATCGATATATCGCTGATGCTTTTCTCTAATGCTGCAAATTATATCAATAAAAATCTTTCTTCCAAAAAATCCTGTTTAACTGAAAAAAGCAAATAAATAAATACATGAATGAATAAAAATAAATTAATATATAAAACAGGTATTTATAAAATATACAAATAAGGATAAATAAAAATATATATAAATATAAAAAATCCAAACCTTCAAAATCGCGGCTTATATCTAGTACTGTTGAGCTGAACTGTTCGATACTAATGTGCAATTTCTCCAGTTCATCTATAAGCTCTTGGGCTTGATCGCTTTTTCCCTGCTTATCGAGCAACCCCTAAAAAAGATCAAAGAAATTTTGGCGTTCACCGGTTATTCCCGGGAAAGCTGACAAAAACTAGAAATACCTTCAAGAAACGAGCGCAGCCTTGAAGTTTTTCAAAAAGAAGTTGCGTCGTAGATGAATAAGCAAAGAATTTTTTTCTTATTCCTCCAAGATTCTCGACGACCACCTGTGACATGCTCAACAGTTCGGCTGTTGATGTTACATTTAGCTGAAGAAAAAAAGATTACACAGAGAAATACAGAGAAAAAAAAAGCCGATTCTGAGAATTAAGAATAAAAAAAAAAAAAGTAACCACGTCAGAAGCTGCAATGGAGGGATGACGTTGCGAAGCATCTCCCGATACATGTCCTGCTTCCTGCCCATCAATACTGGCGATGTCAAGTGAAGCGATTTTCGCTGCCAATTCTTGATCAATCACGCTTTTCGATGCATACTTACCCTGCGCCAAAAATGCAGCCACTCTGTCATTCTAAAAATTACCCGAAAAATATTGTAATTTGATGGGCGAAGATATTCGCCTTTTTCAGACAAAACTAACCCACTCAGGAAGCTACCAAAAAACCCGGGAGGTGCCAATCAAGCAAATGTAAAGAGTTGCTAGTGCTACTTAAACAATGGACCCTTTTAGAATCCACCAAGCGATAAGCAAAATTTTCAGTCATACTAATAATGAGAGCAACAAGACAAAAAGGCAAAAATAGCATATAGCTTTTTTTCAGCCAAGAAAAAAAGCGAAAAAAAAAACTCACTTCACGATCGCACCGAAAAGTATTCCATTCGGAGGCACCATCATCAGTTAAAGCAAAACCGCCCAGATTGACGTCGAGATTATTCTTCTCAATAATTTCATACAGCTCTTTTCGAAAAGCCTTACCTTCTTTGCCGAACTATAATATTTCTATCGTTTTATTATTTATTTTTCTCCTATATTTTTTGAATGCTGAGTCTGCTTCGCCTAGCCATACTTCTTTTTGCCCAGTAAAAATAAATGGCAACGCGCACCAGAGTAGCCGGTGCGATCATGCGTTTTGTGCAATTCAGCCCATCGAACGATTGCCTGTTAATGATTTCCATTGCTTTGTATACTTTAGTCTATGCAAAAATAGTTCGTATAAAGAAGACCAGACAAAAATTTCACGCACCAGCGTATGAAAACTGAATTCGAAACCTTGAAGGATGAATATCTTTTCGTGTAGTTAAAAATTTCATGCACCAGCGTATGAAAGCTAAATTCGAAACCTTGAAGGAAGAATATCTTTCCGTGATTCCCGCGTTAATAGTTTACCCGCCAAAATTTTCACGAGGCCGTTGGTGGTAACCGGGAGCGCGAGAACGTTGAATTTGAATAGGCAAGGATGAGCGTGGGCAAGGGGTCATTATTCTTAAATTTCAGCCTCCTAGATTCCGTGCTTCCCGAGATATTAACTTACCCGTGAATAACTTTCACGGGGCCGTACGGGTTACCCGCGGGTACGGGAAGGCTGAATTCGAATGGGCAAGGTTGAGGGTGGGCAGGGGTCATTACCCTAAAACTTCAGCC